GCGTTGGGGAGCCGGCCTGGCCGGGCCGGGCCGGGCAGGCTGTTGAACCACTGAGGGCGCGAGCGAGGAAGCAGGAGGAGCAGGCCGGGACGGGCTGCTAGCTGCTAGTGCTGAGGTCAGGAGACGCTTCCAGAAGAGGCCGCCCTTAGAGGCTCTAGGATCTAAGTGTGAAGTCTTAAGTGTTCTTTTACCCTGTTAGTCAGGTGAGCATTGCCAGAACGGACTTTGTTTTCAGGTGAGGACGTTCAGGCCGCGGAAGAGAAAGCATTTGCCCAGGTGTTCTCTGCGTTTGTAGTTAGGTAAGAGGATAAACTGGAGCTTCTGGGGGATTCAAGTGACCTCACTTTTGTAGGCGGGCGCCAGGGCTGCACCTCATAGACTGGGATCAGGCAAGAGTATGAACCAATTCAGAGCTGAGTTTATTTGGGCCGCTGGCTGAGCCAAAGAGGCTCAGGCAGGGCACGATGGATTTAATTTCTATGGGATTAACGAGGGGAAGGTATGTAGAGAAGTCACAGGCTCTGGAAGCTAGCCCTCCCCACAGCTATGTGATTTCTATTCTTGCTTGTACTTGGAGGTGCAGGTGCAGGTGCAGGAGAGGGCACCACACTGCTCCTCTCAAACTTTCTGTAGCCCGGCAGTGAGCCCTCCTGGACGGTTCCCCACCTCGTTTTCTCTGGCAGGATTGGGGTTTCCTGTAGAAGCCAGGTTCTCCTGAAGGCCATCAAGTTTGCCTCAGGGACCCAGGGCCACCACTTGCCAGCATGGGGGAGCTCCAGTACAGGGAGCACAGAGCTCAGTTGCCTGAGGGATGGTGGCTGGCTGGTGGGATCTGCCCAAATCCTGGTTTTGTGTTTGTCATTGTGACAAAAGTTCAGAGTTATGAGGTACTAACTGCCTGCCCCTGCTCCAAGTCTCCAGTCTTGCCCATGGCTGGGCTGGGGATACTTTAGTGGGTTCTTCCCTCTCCTGATGCTTGGGCTGGATTTACCCCTTTTGGCTGGGGCCTTCCCTTCTGTCTCGATTGGCCTTTCCCAGCCTCCTCCCTCATCTGCTTGGGATGTGCTTGGACTCTGCTCTTTCCATAGGGTTTCCTGGGCTGGCAGGCAGCTAGCGAGGGGACTTATAACTTTGGGTTCAACTTTGAAGTCTCTGTACTAAGGATTCCTGAATCTTTGATCTGTATCAACAACTGATTGCTGTGGATGTCTCCACTGCATGCAGCTGAGGAACCTTAGTCCCAGGTGACCCAACAGACTGTCTCAGCTCCCAGATTGCACACTTGCTGTGTTCCAAGTGGGCCCAACCCCAGTGCCTGAACCTCATCTACCTGTTGGCCAAAATGAGACATCTGGGTAGCAGTTGCAGGCTCTTCCTCTATGTTCAAGCTGTCTTGGAACTTCCTTCTGGATGTCTCTGGCTCATGGCCATGCATACCTGAATGAACACCTTTCTGTGTCCCATCTCATTTCCCATTCTGATTGTTGTTTTAGACTGGGTCTCTCTATTGTCTAGACTGGCCTTGAACTCACAGTCCTTTTGCCTTCAGCCTCCTAAGTGGCTGAGATTACAGGTTTGCACCACCATGCAGGGCTCTTCCTGTATTATTTTGTACCCCCAGTGCTGGGCTAGCCTATGTAGTGGCTGTTCACCTGTTTATCCATTAGTGTGGGTTTTGTTTTGTTTTTGTACTGGGAGCCGAATCCAGAATCTTCACATTGAGCTACATCCCCAGCCACCCCCTTCCCCCTTTTTGTGAGAGGGTCTTGTTAAGTTACCCAGGCTGGCCCTGAACTTGGGATCTTCCTGCTTCAGGCTTCCAAGTAGCTGGATTATAGATGTTTGGCATCACTCCTGGCTTGAATGCTCTATTTTAAGTGTACAGTTCTGGGTTTTGTAAATATCACCATAATCTAGTTATAAAACATTTTCATCACCCCAAAAAGTTCACTTCATGGTCCAACTGACCTCTCTCCCCCTCTCCCTCTCCCTCTCAGGTGTACCCAGGGGCTTCTTGCTGGGTCCTTTTTAGTGCCTCTTTAAAATTTTTTTTTTTTTTTTGGTATTGGGGATTGAACTCGGGTCCTTCCACTTGAGAGGCAGATGGTGGAACCACTTAGTTAAATCCCGGGCCTTCTTTTAAATTTTTAAGACAAGGTCTCAATAAGTTGGTAGATTGCCTATGCTGGGCTCTAATTTATGATCTTCCTGCCTCAGCCTCCTAGAGTGCTGGGATCACCACCATGCCTGACTCCACATTCTCTTTAGATATTCTCATCCTTTTACCAGATTCACATTTTCTTTTTCTTTTTCTGGTGGTAGGAATTGAACCTGGGGTCTGGTTCTGCTAGGCAAATGCTATACCATGGAGCAGCTCCCTCAACTTCATTATTATAAAGTTTATCCATTCTCATGAATTCATGTGTGGTGGTAGTTTACTGCAGCCTTAACTTGCATATCTCTAGATTTAAAAGTGTTGAGTGCACCTTTTCACATGTTTATTTTATTGACTTTATATCTTTTTTGTGGAGTATCTGTTTAAATCTTTTGTCCTTAAAAAAATGGGTGGTAGCCAGGCTTAGTAGAGCATGCCTGTAGTCCTAGTACTCCAGAGGCTGAGGCAGGAGGATCACTGAGAGTTTGAGGCCACCCTGAGCTACATAATGAGTTCAAAGCCAGCCTGAACTGCGTAGTGCAACCCTGTCTCAAAAAACCAAAAAGTGTGTGTGGGGGAGGCTATAAACTGAGTGTGGTGGTACATGCCTGTATTCCTAGCTCTTGGGAACCTGAGGCGTGAAGATCAAAGTTCTAGGCTTACCTGGGCTAGAGAGTTGAGACCCCATCTCAGAAATGAATGAATGGGGGCTGGGGATTTAGCTCAGTGTTTCCATTGCCAGCCTCACAAGCACAAGCACCTGAGTTCGATCTCCGTACACAAGTACAAGCATCTGAGTTCGATCTCCATTAGCAAAAACAAAACAAAAAAGGAATGAATGAATGGGCCTGGGGATTTAGCTCAGTGGCGCTGCACCTGCCTCATAAGTGCAAGGTCCTGAGTTTGATTCCCCATACCTTAAAAAACAGAAAAAGAATGAATGAGTGAAGAAAAAGTAAGAATGAACCAGTGACTGAAGCTGGGGATATAGCTTAGAGATGGATCACTTGCCTAGCCTGTGAGAGACCCTGGTTTCATCCTCAGCACTGCAGAAACAAATACAAAAAAATGGATTGTTTGTCTTACCAAATTTTAAGAGTTCATGGGCAGGACATGGTGGCACACTCCTGTAATCCCAGCATTTGGGAAACTGAGGCAGGAGGCTGAGATGAGAGGATCAATGTGAATTTGAGGCCACCCTGGGCAACATAGTGAGTTCAAGGCCAGCCTAAACTGTACAGTAAGACCTTGTCTCAAAACAGAACAAAACAATTTTTAGGAGTTCTTTATATTTTTACAATACAAGTCCTTTGTCTCTCTCTCTCTCTCTCTCACACACACACACACACACACACACACATATATATATTTTTTTTTGTGTGTGTGTGTGTGTGTGTGTGTGTATTGGGAATTGAACTCGGGTCCTTGTGCTTGTGAGGCAGGCTGTGGCATCACTGAGCTAAATCCCTGGCTGTCAGGTGTATATATTGCAAATAACATTCTCCTAGTCTGTAGTTTGTCTTTTTTTTTTTTCTTGGCATTGTCTGAAGAACAGTTTGTCTTTTTTTTTTTTTTCTTGGCAGTCTGAAGAACAGATTCTTTTTTTTTTTTAATTAATTAATTTATTTTTTTTTGAGACAGGGTCTCACTATGTAGTTGAGACTGACCTGGAACTCACTATGTAGCCCAGGCTGGTCTCGAACTCAGAGTGATCCTCCTGCCTCAGCCTCCTCCTGCTGGGATTACAGGTGTGTGCCACCACGCCCAGAAGATTCTTTTAATTTTGATGAAATCCAATTTATCAATTTTTTTCTTTTCTTTATACTTTTATGATACAAGCAGGGGTGAAGGTCCAGTGATTTCTCTGTGGATATTTACATTGCTCCAACTCCCCTTACCTTTTTATGTTTGTTTTTTTTTAGAGACAGGGTCTTACTGTGCAGTCTAGACTGACTTCCAACTCATGATCTTTCTGCTAGCCTCCTGCTGTGGCTGGGATTACAGGCCTGTATGCTGGCTCTACTCCCAACCCCTTTTTGTGACACTGGGGATCAAATCTAGAGACCTCCTACCACATAGGTACATCCCCAACCCTTTTTATTATTTTTTTTTAAATTTTCTAAGTTGCCCAGGTGGGACCACAATTTGTAGTCCGCCTCACCCTCCCAGAATGCTGGGATTACAGGTATGTATAGGGCCTGACTTTTTGTTTTTGGTACCGGGGATCGAACTCTGGTCCTTGTGCTTGCAAAGCAGGCAGTAGAACCACTGAGCTAAATCCTCAGCACTATTTTTTATTTTTTATTTTTTGTACTGGAAATTGAACCCAGGGACCTTTGCACTGATCTAAATCCCCAGCCTACCTGCTTGCTCTCTCCTTCCCTCTCTCCCTTCCTTTCTACCTTTTTTCATTTCTTTCTAGACAGGGTCTAGCTAAGTAACCCACCACACTGGCTCTTGCTGACATTTTAACAATGTAGAACATGTTCTGTTTCTTCACTTATTTAGATCTGTTGCTATATAA